AGTTATTTTTGAAGTAACGCGTTACTTTAAAAGTAACGAACTACTTTTAAAGTAAAGAAGTTACTTTCAAAGTAAAGAAGTTACAGTAACGCGTTACTTTCCAATAAGTAACGAAAATAAAGTTATCATTATTCGAAAGTAACTGTAAATTTTAAGTAACGAGTTATTTTTAAGCAAAAGTAACTATAAAGTAACGCGTTACTTTTTTCAAGTAACGATCCCAGCTCTGATGGGTACTAAGCTTTAATAATACATGGGGCAAGTGGGGCAAGTCTTGGGCAAGTGCTCAAATCTGACACTTTTCTGACATCGTTGACATGTAACAACCCGTATTCTAACCTTATAAAAATTTCAAAATGCCGGCTGGTTGGCAAAAGCCACGTGGTTTGGATGTCCTAATTACAGTTTATTGGCCACACTGTGAAAAATCTAAATTTTTCTGTTATTTTCTTGTTTTTGAGATATACAGGGTGGTCCATTGACTTGAGACAGAATCATATTCCCCCACTACCCCATTCTAAGTAACTTATGATTTTTTTCTCAGAACCACCCTTTATACCTACATGCAAAGCAAAATATATCAGTTTATGAAAGTGTACAAAGGAAACACACTGGAAGAGTGATAGACACATTAGTTCGCATACTTTCCGCAAGTCAAGCGCTTCTGGAGAATTTTAACACATTTATATAACAGCATGGAGCTGGCTTACCTCACAGGGGCGGATACAGGCCTTTTGAAAAGGGGGAGCAGTTTAAGTTAAAGTAAGCCAGATTGGGTTAGTTTAGGTTCGTTTTGGCAGCGCATTGTGCCAGATACGGTTTTTCGTAGGAATGGCCCATGAAAATATGGGAATGAGGGAACTATTTAGGAAAATAAGGTGATTGTTGCGGAACTTATTGGTGGACCTCTGCGGGACGAGCGCAGCGAGTTCCGCAGCCATCTATTCATCAATATTTTGTTTAATTATGATACTAAACTAACTCACTCAAATGTACGTTATTCTCATTAGTTTAAAAATTACACATTTCAGGTCTTACTTGAACATTTCAATAGTATATTGATGACTAGATGGCTGCGGAACTCGCTACGCTCGTCCCGCAGAGGTCCACCCATAAGTTCCGCAACAATCCACTTATTTGTATTTGAACAATAGCTTATTATATAAAGTCAGAATTTGTAAGATTATCCACTTTTTGTCAATTGGCCTTTTAACAGGAATTAGTAATGTTACTTTTCCAAACTACTATTATATTGTGACAAGTTATTCAAGTACAAACGAGTGAATTGTTGCGAAACTTATGGGTGGACTTACCCATCTATTCACCAATATGTTGTTCAAGTACAATACTAACCTGACTTACTCAGTTGTGAATTTTTCTCATTAGTTCAAAAACTACACGTTTTCAGGTGAGTGTCTTATTTGAACAGTTCAACAGTATATTGGTAAGTAAATGGCTGCGGAACTCGCTACGCTCGTCCCGCAGAGGTTCACCCATAAGTTCCACAATAATCCACTCATTTATACAAAGTGTTTTTTTATACAGGGTGAGTTACTAAGAGCGCGGTGGTCCATATCTCCTATACCAACAGAGATCGAAGAAAAAAGTAAATACAAGACTTGTAGATAAACATGAGTACTGCATTCCTAACTTATTTTCCCGTATACAGGGTGGCCCAATAAGTAGTGGTGACACAAGGTTATGTTTTCCTAAATGACTAGCCCTGTATATTATGACATTTCTAGATTCTACGAAAAATTCTAGACATATTTCATGAACAATGTCATATACTTATCTTCAACTGTTTCGGAAATATTGACAGTTTAAAATTGACTTTTTCGCATTTTTGACAGACTGTAAAATCTAAACGGTTAATTTTAGAGGAAAACCGATTTCACATTTCCATATTAGATTTTCATCAGCTATCATTTGACATTAACTTTGAATTTAATCCATGATTAGAAATTCCGCTTAAATTTATAATCTCCGGTTAAATTCAAAGTTGGTGTCAAATGATAGCTTATGAAAATCTAAGATAGGAATGTAAAATCGGTTTTCCTCTAAAATTAACCGTTTAGGTTTTACAATCTGTCAAAGATGCAAAAAAGTCAATTTTAATCTGTCAATATTTCCAAAACAGTTAAAGATAGGTTTATGACATTGTACATGAAATATGTCTAGAATTTTCCGCAGAATCCAGAAATATCATAATATACAGTCATTTAAAAAAAAACATAATAATCTTGTGTCACCACTACTTATTGGGCCTTCCTGTATACTGGAAGACTTAATTTGAGAATATAGTACTCATGTTTATCTATAAATTTTGTATTTACTTTTTTCTGCGATCTCTGTTAGTATAGGAGATATGGACCACCGCGCTCTTAGTAACTCACCCTGTATATTGACACCCCACCTACAGCCTTTACTTTCACAGGTAGAAGAAAGGTGTAAATACAAAAGTTGTACAGTTTTGGCTGAATTTTTAGAAACCATGGTCAGAAACAAAATTTGAATTTCAGAAATGTGAAATTTTGCATAGGTACTTCCAGCTTTTTTCAAATGGGATGCTTTCTATTTCATTCTATATTCTTGAAGAGCACAATGCCCCGATCTATATTTGATTGAGCAATCTCTCATATATTCGGCTCCAAAAATTGTGAAAATACTATCCTACTACTGATTCTGTGAACCCTCTGAGCTGTGAATCATTCTTACTGTACAGGGTGCTGCAATTTGGAGTGTTTCAATAGGAAAAACACACTTCCAGACCAGATAGAGGAAAATTGACTTTAATGTCATTGTATCGATTTTTGTGAAACGTCAATTGTCAAAAACCATATCACGATATCTTCAATGGTACCATTGATACAGGGTGATTTCCGATTTTTCCCTATTATGAAAAATGGCTATAAGTTTTTTATTTATCAATTTTTTTTATTTCTGTAAAAACATTATGGAGACACTTTTTTGAGCACAATCCAGTGGCGGACTCAGTTTTTTTCTATATCGTTCCAATTTCGAGATACCGACCAAATTCCGATATTTTCAAATGAAACACCCTAAATATTAATAGCTCATTGGATAGCTCTGTTTTTGCTGATTTCAATGATATAAAGTTCGATAGGTATATCTCTAACAGTTTTCGAAAAAAAAAATTATATCTGTTTTTGTCGTAAGGACCAATGTGTTAGAAAAGGATTTTATATGTGTAAGGAAAAAGAGGAAGGTCTCTTTCTAACACATTGTTTCTTATGACTGAAACATATATAAATTTTTTTTCTCGAAAACTGTTAGAGATAAACCTATCGAAGTTTATATCATTGAAATCAGTAAAATTAGAGCTATCCAATGAGCTATTAATATATAGGGTGTTTCATTTGAAAATATCGGAGTTTGGTCGATATTTCGAAATCGGAACAATATAGAAAAATCCGAGTCCGCCACTGGATTGTGCTCAAAAAAGTGTCTCCATAATGTTTTTACAGAAATAAAAAAAATTGACAAATAAAAAACTTATAGCCATTTTTCATAATAGGGGGAAATCGAAAATCGCCCTGTATTAATGGTACCATTGAAGATATCGCGATGCGGTTTTTGACATTCGACGTTTCTCGAAAATCAATCCCATGACATATAAGTCAATTTTCGTCTATCTGGTCTGGAAGTGTGTTTTTCCTGTTAAAACACTCCAAATTGCAGCACCCTGTACACGTGAAAGCTGCAGGTAAAATTTGAGGTACTTGGTTTCTCTGATAGTATTTTTAAAATTTCTAGAACCAAATATGTTGGAGACGGCTCAACCAAATATAGACAAACTATATAGTTTTGGAATCGGGAAATTGTGTTCTTCAAGAATTTGGTGAATGCAGTGGGGGGCATTTGCCCCCCACTGTATCCGCCACTGTTACCTCACTTCCATTATAATTTGAACAAATCAAAATAAATTATACACTATAAGAAAGAGCATTAAATTCTCTATTAATTAGTGCTGAATTGAGTTTGTTAGCTCGAAAACTTTCTCAGCAAGTTGAACTTTTTCAATTAATCAAAAATTCCCAAACTATTGTCTCATCCCTCCTTTGGCTGTATTGAAAATTCATTGGCACTCAGCAACAACTCAATCAACAACACTGTATAATTTTGAATTTGACACATTTATGACAGCTCCAGAACTCAGTGGCGTGACAATTTAATTAAATAAATCCCTATGCAAAAACTAAATGTTGCCATTCGTCCCTAATAATAAGTCGTTGGTATATCGAAAACAAATTTTGCAACGCAAATTTGAATCAGATGTTTGAATTTTGCGCAATTTCACATTCTTCAGAAGGAAAAAATGCGGTCCCACAGCAGGCAAATCTCCGAGAAATTCCGTTTTCGATACAAAACCTGCAATTTAATTATAAACACTTGATGGGTGTGTAATAATAAATAAATTCTCTTTTAAATGACAATTATTATTAGGCAAAACCCTAATTAGATTTTCTATAATCGAGTCTCCTGCTTATTGAGCAATTAAATTATTAGACTGGTCAAGTTAAGAAACAATCAAATTCTTTCTTCAGATTTTTTAGGGCATGACCAACGAATTTTATAGTTACACTCATTTGGGTACGACGTCACATTACTCAACGAATCTATAATTAACGTGTGTAAATGCCTACTTAGTACATGATTTAATTTATATTAAATTATTTACCACGGATGCATTTGGCTGGAAATTTACAAAATCTATAAAGAAAAAATATATAGTTTTTCACACGCAAATGTCAAATTATGTTGTCCTATAAACATGATAATTTAACAAATAAATATAAAATACCGTGACTCTGATTTCATAATTTTGTTTGCGCAATTAAAATGTCAAGCAAAAGATGCTATAACGGAAGTTTTATAAATGGCGAAATTTTTTTTGTCTAAGTAATACCTTGTAATTTTTGATTGCTCAATGTTTATAGTACTTGATTGACAACTGAATATTTTCTTGTTTCTTATAGGTGGTCATGGTACTTTACAAAACCTAATCAACAATTTCGTCCACATATTTTTGTACTTCTACTACATGGTAGCCGCAATGGGACCAGAATACCAAAAGTACATTTGGTGGAAAAAGCACTTGACAACTGTACAACTTGTAAGTTCCTTGCATTTGCACCCAAATAATTTAATAATAATTGTCCTAATTTCAGGTTCAATTTATGATTGTTTTTGCTCACTCGGCTCAACTATTGTTCAACGACTGTGGTTATCCTCAATTCATGGGTTTACTTTTGATGTTACACTCTTTGATATTCTTTGTACTTTTTGCCAATTTCTATTATCAGACTTTTACGGCCAAGAAAAACAAGAAGGCACCACAAAAAGAGATTAAAGTCGAATGAAAATTTTGAAAATTAATTGTTTAGTGCCAAAATAGACATCAATAATTGTATTCTTCAAAGTGCCTTTATGATCTGATGAGATTATTTTGTTGCTTACTGAAAAGAATATGGAATTGTTGTATATTTATTTAAGTGAGGGACAGTTAATGTTAATTTATTATGTTATACTAGTCATATAATGGTTTTATTCATATAAATACGCCAAAGATCTTGGTAGTATGTACATATTCGTGTACCATTGTTTGGTTTTAATTTATTTAGTATTAATAATTGTAAATAGAATTTTTTAGGGGTTTCAAAATATTTTCATGATTTTCCAGTGAAAAGTCTGAATTTCAATGTATTTAACTAAAGTTAGGTTTAACAAATAATAATAATAAAGATTAAGTTTATATTATAAATGTATTTACTTTAATTCCAAATTATTATTGCTCAACTTATATACACTTTGTAATAAACAGTTTAAGTAAACTACAAGCTCAATTTTTTCAACAACGGATATTTTTGTCTTGATATTTTCAAATAAAAGTCCAAGAAATATTTCTATAGTATTTTTATTTATCCAACGAAGGAGTCAGTTTTGGTGAAAACCATAATTGATTCAAATTATAAGTGAACAAATTTTTCTAAAAGTAAATCAGACTTTGACAGAATAGGCCTACTTAAAATAATAATAACAATTAACAATGTAAGAAGAAACGATGATTAAAACTAAGTTGTTTGAAAAAGGAAATGAAAAATAAGAATCACAATATTTATAGGAATGTTTTCCAATAAAAATTGGCATGAGGTTTATCGTTGCTTGTTTTGTGAAAATAATTTATTATTTAAGTGAGAATGTGTTCAATAACCAAATGGAGGGATTGTTTAAAAAAAGAACTTGAGAGAAGAGTGGGTTTTTAAATTTTTCCAATTTTGAGCACCTATTTTCCCATTGAACTTAAAACTTCCAACTTCCTTTGGTTTTTCATCCACGTGTCAAATTATTGAATCTTATTTTTCAAGATTTGAAACTATTTGGAGCAGATACGAAGTAAAATTTGGTTTGCAAGACATTCTTGACTGACCCTTATCAACTTCTACCTTGACAAAACTCTTTGATTTGAAGCTATTTGAAATTTAATATTTTTAAATAATTCCCCTATTGGGATACTAAGGTCCGGTTTATCAGTGAACGGTCATGTAGTTTATCTATTGGTTAACTAATAAATTATCATTGGTGAACCGTTAATCGACAGCTAAACTAGATAACTGGTCCTAAGTCAACCAAAATATAACCAGTTTACATACCGTATCATAAACAATCTGAAACAAATTCAATCCTATGTACAGGGTGGCCCAAATTCGAGCCTCATCATTGGGATCTCGGTAACCGTAAGAGATACGGGGTCGGTTAAATTATGGCAAAGTTGCGCAATTTTATGACCAATAGAATACCGTTTTGAAACTAGAAAGATTCCGAATACTTCCGGAGATATTCGGAAAAAACCGAAATTTTGTAAAATCGTTTTTATTTTTTCCCGGGCTTATTTGAAAACCAATTTCAAAATTAATGTCACTTTTTCCCCTTTAGAAGATGGTGCTACTAAATTTGGCACCTGTCATTTGCCCATTTTGACATTCACAAAAGATAGTAGACATAAAACCCTGCAACTTTCATGTTTAAAGTTTTTTTCTACCTCGTATAGCTAAAGCTGTGGGTAGGGGTCGAAATATAAGGAAACACCCTGTACGCGTCTAGTGTCACCCTGTTTCTGACAACCCCCTTTACCTTATATAAATTTTGAATATTTTCGTATAAATCTCCATTCGTAGGCCGATCGAGTGTACAGGGTCTGTTCTTTATAATTAGTACGGCTCCTACAACTTAAACAAAAGAAAATACAAAAAAAAGTTAAATACAAAAGTTGTAGGGTTTTATCTCTATTATCTTTCGTACATGTCAAAATGGGCAAATGACAGGTGCCAACTGTCATAATGACAGCACTTGCATTTTTTTAAATGGAACACCCTATATATTTTAACTAGGATGATAGACTTTTTTCTTGTGATTTCAAATATACCATATATGTTGATATTTGGTTCAGCTGTGTTTACGCTATTCAAGTTTAAAAATGCATTTACATTACCCTAAATTAGGTCTGTTCCCGGTTTCTAATATCAATGATGATATGAAATAGCTGAACCAAATATCAACATATATGGTATACTTGGAATCAGAAGAAAAAAATCTATCATTCTAGCCAAAAATATACAGGGTCTTCTATTTAAAAAAATGCAAGTGCTGTCATTATGACAGTTGGCACCTGTCATTAGCCCATTTTGACATGTGCAAAACATAATAATAGACATAAAACCCTACAACTTTTGTATTAAACTTTTTTTTGTATTTTCTTTTGTTTAGGTTGTAGGAGCCACACTAATTATGAGGAATAGAACCTGTACATTACTGGTGTCACCCTGTTTCTGACAACCCCCTTAACCTTCCCTGTTAATATGAATCTAATCCCATGTACAGGGTGTTTCAAATTCGAGCCACATCATTGGGATCTCGGAAACGGTAAGATATACAGGGTTGATTAAATGGCGGCAAAGTTGCGTAATTTGATGCTTAACAAAATGCCGCTTTGATATTTGGGATATTCCGAATACTTCCGGAAAAAACCGAAATTTTGCAAAAATGTTTTTATTTTTTCCTGACTTTATTTGAAGTGATATTCCAAAAAAAAATATCACAACATTGTAGCCAATTTTTCTTCCCTACAAGATGCTACCATCAAATTTATAATCTGACGTTTCGTCTTTGGGCCACCATATCAACTCTATTTTTTTAAATACGACCCTGGATTTTTTATTTCAGATTTTTAGTGCTTCTGATGTCCCAAAACCTATGATGCATGGCATTTATTCGAAAAAATATTTTTTCCATTTTTTAGTAATTTCCTACCAAAATTCTCTTCTCTGTCTCTCTCTAACACATTTGGTTCTTATGGAAAGCACCAATAATATAAATTTTTTGAATAAGTGCAATACGTCATTAGTTTTGGGACATCAGAAGCTTGTGAAATTTAAAATAAAAAATAAGGGTCCGTATTTAAAAAAAATGAAGTTGATGATGGTGGCCCAAAGACGAAACGTCAGATTTCAAATTTGACGGTAGCATATTGTAGGGGAGAAAAGGTAGCAATGATGAAGTGACATTTATTTTGGAATATCACTCCAAATAAAGTCAGGAAAAGATGAAAACAATTTTGCAAAATTTCGGTTTTTTCCGGATATCTCCTGAAGTATTCGGAATATCCTAAATATCAAACCGGCATTTTATTAAGCATCAAATTACGCAACTTAGCTCCCATTTAACCAACCCTGTATATCTTACCGTTTCCGAGATCCCAATGATGTGGCTCAAATCTGAGACACCCTGTACAGTTTTTGAATAATTGGGAAATAGCTGTAGAAGTTGCTGACATCAAATTCTGAGTTAAGAGAAAGTGAAATAATTCGTCATAAGCATCTCATAGAAAATTCCAGTTGAAGAAAATAGGAAATTACTCTAGAACAGTTGAGAAAATGAGAAACTAGTCTGAGAGACTTTCTAATAGAATGATAAATTTCAATTTGACAATGAAATCAACTTTAGGAGGTTGCTTACATCAAATTCTGATTTGAAATAATGTGAAACAAGTTAAGAAAAGCCTCTCATAAAAAAAATCCAACTTGAGAAAATGAGAACGGGCTTTCATAACGAATTAAAAGTTGAGACGCTGAGAGAATGAGAAACAAGTTAAGAAGAGAAAAAGGGTAACAACTTTGGAGAAACTTGTGATGGTACATTTTAGTTTGAGACAACTTTATAAAGGTTGCTCACATAAAATTCTGAGTTGACAGTACATGCAACAAATTAAGAAAGGTCCCTCATAGAAAATACCACCTTGAGAAAATGAGAAAAGCTTTCATAGCAAGTGATAGGTTAAGAGAATGAGAAACAAGTTAAGAAGAGTCTCACATGAAAAATTCTGGGTTGCGAACAGCTTCTTATGGTAAATTTTAGTTTGAGACAAAACTTTAGAAGTTGTTCACAGAGATGACTGATACCACCTTAAGATACCACATTTTCTGATACTAAACTTTAATTTTTGGCCAGGCACTCGTATCTCCCAGCAATTTAAAGGTAAAAGCGAATTTATCTACAAAAGCACACAAATTCACTTGCAGTAATCTCCATGTTGGATTTGAATTCAGGAAAACATGACTCTATTTGGGTTTTACTTAAAAAATAGAAGACAGTATCCATTTGCTAAGCATACAACGAAATACCCAAGCATAAACATAAATAAACCAACATCTGACTCTTAACTGATAAAGTTTCATGGAAAGAATGCATCCCTTCTGGAAAATGTTCAATCATCATTAATTAATAAGAAAAACAATTATTTCCAACAACTTATATTTAATCTTCAAAATTCCAAGGCACACAAACCACCCCGTCAGACAAAACCGAATAATAACTAGATACATTAATACTTAAATCTTTAGTAAACTCTTTTAAAACGCTTCTGCTTGCCAGCAACTTTTGGCAAAACTTTATCATCAATTCTGGAGTAATATTATCATCTTTTAGCAGTTCAACTAACTGAAACTCCTGCAAACATTTTTTACGCAAAGCCCTTTCCATTACTTTATCGTGCTTGTACGATTCGCTCAATGTGTGCGCTTTTTCCAGGTTGCTTGTAATGAAACTTATTAAAATAGGACCTAGAAATCGTTTTTAATTTTAAAAAATATTGAGAAACATTGTAGATTACCAGGTAATGATGAAGGTACAATGAATTGTCCTGTAGGTGAAACCATCATAGGACCAGCTTCAGTTTCAACAACAATTTCATAATTTTCCAAAGTGACTGGCCATGATTTAGGGTAACGATTGCGGCCGAAAAAATCACTCACTGATGTAGTTAGTTTTTTTAAATTAATCTCATATTCGCCTACTTTCATGTCAGGCATAAATTTTCTACGACAAACCTAAAGGATTTTTCTTTAAACACAAATAGTTTTATTTTAATAGAATTTACTTTGATATTTCTTAAAACATGAGACAAAGATTTTTCGTAATAAGGCACTCTGTCTAAAGCCAATTTGTGTTTGGTAATATTTTTGATGAAATCCAACCAGTTATGGCGCACTTCTCCACTAAAAAGCATCAAATGCCCATCTAAGCTTATACCAGTAAAATATGAGAAAACTAAAATTTGTCCTTCTAAGTTTTTCATGTGCTGAGGATGTTGTTCCATAAGGGATTTAAGGGACAAAAGACAACCTAGAATTTTTAGATTAACTAATAATTGATTAATGGTTTAGTATTGAATTTGCCTCTAAAATGTTGAGTGTTCCAGCCACATTCCCATCTGATGTCTTTTAATTTGGAATTTTCAATCATTTCTTGTTTTAGTTTTTCGATTTCTTCTTTGGATGATTTGCCACTTCTAAATTTTTCCAAGGCATCTTCATAATTTAGTTCTAACCAATTTTTCAATCTACATAATTATATGATAAATTCAATTTTAATGTAGTATACAACAAATTTCATATAAACAAACCGAGGGGTGTCTCACGGTTGGAAATAGGTGTACAAATCTCAAAATAATTTCCGGAAATGTTGAGAAATTACCTGTAAATTGTCACAAATTATGTTGATTCTCAGAAATTATAGGAAATGTTTGGAAATTTTGGGAAATGTCAGGAACTGTTAGGAAATTATTCGAAATATTAGGAAATTTTTCAAAATTAGGTATAGAAAATTTCCTGAAATTATTATAGGAAATTAGGAAATTTTCACCAGAAATCTTTGAGAATTTTTGTGTATCGCATATTCCTGTTTAATATTTTGTGAATAAAAATACCTAACTGCTAACAAAATAAAGGTAAGTGAGTAAGTAGGTGAGTAGGTACCTATGTATAAGCACATCTCATAAATTATAGAAGTCAAGCTTCATATTGTTATTTTCTACTGGAAAAAATATAAAATTTTGGGAAAATGAGCTTCTAACCTTCCTCAATAAATGCAGAAGGTTTCAAATTTTTCCCTATTTGTACTAATTTTTCAAAAAAACTGTGAAATGTGTGAGACTTTATTCTCAATTAATTCAGTTATTGTTAGTTGATTTTCAATATTTTGCATGTTGTAATTTTGCACTGGAAAAATTTGAAATTTTGGGAAAATGAGCTCCTAACCTTCCTCTTCACATGCAAAAAGTTCCAAAATTTTGCATCTATTGGTTTTTCAGGAAAACTTTGAAATGTGTGAGAAAGTATTTTCAAATAATTCAGTTATTTTAAGTTAATTTTCAAAATTTCTTATGTTGTTATTTTCCACTGGAAAAATTTATAAATTTTGGGAAAATGAGCTCCTAACTTTCCTCTTTACATGTAAAAAGTTTCAAATTTTTCCCTTTATCAGTCTTCCGGAAAAACTTTGAAATGTGTGAGATTGTATTTTTAATTAATTCATTTTTGGTAAGCTGATTTCCAAGATTCTTCATGTTTTTTTTTTTTTTTTTCAATGGAAAATATTTCAAATTTTGGGAAAATGAACCTCTAACCTTCCTTTTTATATGCAAACAGTTTCAAAATTTTCCCTTCACTAGTTTTCCAGGAAAACTTTGAATTGTGTGAGACTGTCTTTTAATTTAAAATCAGTTTTTGTAGGCTGATATCTAAGATTCGTCATGTTGTTATTTTCCACTGGAAAAATTACATATTTTGGGAAAATGATGAGGAAAATGAGCTCCTAATTTTCTTCTTCACATGCAAAAAGTTTCAAGATTTTCCCTTCACTAGTTTTCCAAGAAATTTTTGAAGTGTATGAGACTGTTTTTCAATTAATTCAGTTTTTGTAGGCTGTTTTCCTAGATTCGCCATATTGTTATTTTCCAATGGAAAAATTTGAAATTTTGGGAAAATGAGCTCCTAGCCTTCCTCTTTACATGCAAAAAGTTTCAACATTTTTCCTTAATTAGTTTTCCAGGAAACCTTTGAAATGTGTGAAATTGTATTTTCAAATTTTTCATGTTGTTATTTTCCCCTGGAAAAATTTGAAATTTTGCGAAAATAACCTCCTAACCTTTCTCTTCAAATGCAAAATGTTTCAATCATTCCCTCAAGGGGGCAAACCACCTAGGAATTTTTTGCCAACAATGTGGGGAATTGAGGTATAGGGAATTTGAAGAAATTTATGGGAAACCTGTTCAATGTTTAGGAAAAGGTCCATTCTCGGGTGCATTTGAAATAAAATGAAATAATATACCCTCAATATTGTGAAACAATATACATATCTAAGTTGTTTGAAATATCAAATGCAGGTTTAGGTTAGTTTAAACATCAGTTTAAACCTCGGTTTAAACATCAGTTTAAACCTCGGTTTAAACCCCTGCATTCTGGATTACAGGGAACCAATCATTAGTTTTAGCTCTAAAGTCAACTAACCTAACCTTGCATTTGATCCTACTTGATAAACTGCTCTTGTGTTTTAACACTAAGGGCCGGTCTATTTTCCTTCTGATAAACTGTCAGGTAATCCAATTTGACAAATTTGTAATCCCATTGGTTGGCTATTTATTCCTTGACCAATCCAATAAGATTATGAAATGAGTAAATTTATCTTATAGATAGTTACCAGCAAGTTTATCTGAGGATGAATAAACCAAGCCTATGCAAAATAAAAATTTTAAAAAATAAACTTATTACTAGCAATTATGAGGATTTTCAGGGAATTTGTAGGAGGCATTTGTGGGGAATTTGAGGGGAGTTTGCAGGAATTTGTAGGGAACTTAGAGGAATTTGGAGGAATTTTGGGAGAAAATGTGTAGAAAATTCCCCTTTGAGGAATTATTTGTAAAAATTCTGGGGAGGTGGTTTACCCCTTGATAGAAGTATCGCAGTAATGTTTAAAATGATAGTAAATGATCATTTCTAGAAAACTACAGTGAATATTGTAGAGATTTTCGAAAATTTTGGGGAGAAATTAGGTAAAAATCTCTCAAAAATTTCAAAAATTACCTATCAATTTTTGTTTCAGAAATGTCAGAAATTTCATAGGAAACTAATAATTAAGTATTTGGGGAATTTCGGAAATTATTCAGGAAGTTTCATAAATTATTCAGGAAATTTCGGAAATTATGGACAATATCAGAAAAACATTTCCAAAAAGGTAATACGTGTACAAAATTTAACAGCGTGAGACCCCTCGAAACAAACCTTAAATTATCTTTGGTTTCTTGTTGCATCCTAAATGTATAGGCATTGAATGGATTTTTTGTAAAATCATATTCATGTTGATATTTTACTCCTACCCATTCGTCACCCTGTTTTTTTATATTCTCTGTACGTATTCTTGCTTCAACTTCGTCTGAGGACTTAACATAGTGCTGTACATGGCTTGTAGGCAAATTACAGGCTTTTAAAATATCTACAATAGCTGTCCCTATGTCTCGACCTTTTAAGTATATTTTTATAAGACGAATTGTGTCATTATTTTGTTGTGTTCTTGAATAATTAATGTGAGTAATTAGGTTTTATATAGTTTTAGGTAAATTCTTACCGATTTTTCAGGTAAAAGGGTATAGTTGTGGGTGCTAGATATTTGAAGGCCTGTAAAGATTGTAAAACAGAGCTGAGCTGTTGAAGGGAGGTTTCGTTGATGGCCCTTTCAGTCGGATGTTGGCCAAATAAATCAGGATGTACAGAAAAATAAAAGGGCCTCAATGCAGTTGAGACTTCTATGAAAATACAATTTGGTTTTTAAATATGGTTGAAATGGTTAGCTGCAAATTACCTGTTGATGTTAGGTTTCTTATTAGTACTGGAAAATTCTTGTTGACAATGCACACAGTCGCTTTCCCAAGCATTTTTCATCTATCTAGATTTTAAGATTTTCCAAATCAAAATGTAAACAAATCTAGCAAGGTTATGTTTATGTAACATGTCAGTTCAAGGTTTTTTTGGGATATTGTATTTTATAGGGGCAAATATGAAAATTGATATTGAATTCCCATTAAAAAAAACACTTTTTATTAATAATTTGATAATAAATTAATATCAAATTGTTTAAATAATAAAAATAATCAAATCAAATGACCTATTGATGAAATTACGTCGGTTGAATGCACTTTGGTTTGATTATTCTTGACATCTCTTCCATCAGTCAAAATGACATTTATCGTCAAAACGCCAAGTAGTGCAATGTCGTTAAAATTTTCAAAATAATCTTAAAAAAAAGGTCCAGTTTTCAATCAAAAACCCAATAAAAATGGGATTTTCCGCATCGTAGAGGTAACATGGACCTGACGCAAGCGATAAGACAACCGTAAACGGTGTGTTTTTGTGATAAAGTCGATTTTATCGGGAATTGGCGGGAGTCGCACACACATCACAAAACGCCTCGGCGATGGTAATGGCCGATTTGTTGTATTCCAGCTCGTCTTCCTGAGAAATGAACCCTAAAAATTGATAAATCGGGGGGCCTTGTAAGTAGTCTCAATTTATCTTCAATCGAAATCCTATTTAAGGCTTTGGCTTATTTGTAAAATGTTTAATTTTGGCTTGTAAAAATTGTTTATCTAGAATGAAAGGGTGTGATCAGCTCGAGGGGAGATGCTACAGTGCTGAAAACAGGTTTTTGTTTGTATTTAGAGCAATTTAGGGACCTTTAATTTTAATTTTTGTGGAATTGGTTCATTTGTAGCCAAAGAATTTCCATGATTTCCAATGGAAATTGTTTGTTTGTATAAGGCAAAGTACTACTGGAATTTTGATAAAAAGTCTTATCAAAATGTACAAATTACTAAAAGGAAGTTCAATGTATGAAGAAGGAACTTAACTAGATAAAGTCTCAAAGTAAAAAGTTTCTTTTTCTCATGATGTTATCTTCATGATCTTATTAGGAAAAGAACAATACAATAATTGTTATTTTCATTGTTTTTCAAATAGAATTGTATCTTGTATCTAATTAGATACTTAGGAATTAATATGTGCATCCTAGGCACTAGGCAAAGGTAAAACTGTTGAAAGTAAATTGAAATATTAATGAACAGATTTTTAGAGAATTCGATTAGCTTCAATCATAGCCTAATTGTATTGAATTTGGATGAAAATTACAGAAGATGTGAGGCAAAAACTGTTTCAGTGTCATTTTGGAAAATTTTCAATATTCAATAAATTCAATTTTGAAGCTTCTCAGCTGCGAATCTGTTAACACTAAATTGAAATCTCAATTAAGAGATTTATAAAGAATTTACTTGGTTTTAATCACAGCCTAATTGCGTTCAAATCGGATGGAAATTTAAGGAGCTGTGAGGCAAAAACTGTTTCAGTGTCATTTTTGGAACATTTCCAATCTTTCATAATTTTGAAGCTTCTCAAGTGCAAAACTGTTAAAACTAATTTAAAATCTTAATCAACAGGTTTGTAGAGGATTTAATTGGCTTCAATCAGAGCCTAATTGCATTGAAAACGGATGAAAATTAACAAAGCTCTAAGGCAAAAAATGTCTCAGTGTCATTTTTGGAAAATTTCCAATGTTCCATAATTACAATTTTGAAGCTTCTCAGGTGCAAAACCGAGTGCAAAACTATCAGAACCAAATTCAAATCTTAATTAATAGGTTTGTAGAAAATTTAATTAGCTTTATTCAAAGCCTAATTGCATTGAAATTGGATGGAAAATAAAGGAGTTATGATCCATAACTGTCTCAGGGTCATTTTTGGAAAGTTTTCAATGTTCGATAAATTAAATTTTGAAGCTTCTTAGGTGCTAAACTAGATTAAAATGTAAAAGACTCTCCTAGTTTAAGCATTTTTGTCAGACAACTATGTTCTTATTTACGCAGTTAAACGTTTATTATTGTTGAAATGTTTATTTATTTATTTATTTTTTTATTTATCAACGGGCCGAGCCCACTTACAAAATGCTAAACATTCAATTCAACAATATAGAATTAGATAACAAATGTAACAAAAATAAAATTAATCACTCTTAAAATTATATAATAATAATAATAACAACAACAAACAGCCCTGCAACTTGATGAGAAATGAGTAAGGCTAGATACGTAGATTGGACTAGTAGATTTAGGTAAAAATCAAATAATAATTAGTAGGTACAATAAAGTTATAAAAGGTGGGATCAGCAATTTATGATAAAAGTTTTCTAACAACTACCTAAAAGTATGACGAACTTGACCCAGGAAAATGCTCAAGGGGGCAAAAAGGTCAATCTCATGGTGCTCATTTGCAAGTCTAGCTGTTCGGGAAATAAAAGTATTGCGTCCGTAATTAGTTCGATGAATCGGAATATGAAAACTGTCATTCGACCTGGTGGTTCTAGGAGGGACATGAATGCTAATTTTGTGAAGAATTTCGGGATTCGAAGCCTTCCCATGTAGGATATTATAGAATGTTGTAAGATCTCTCCTCTTGTGACGCATAGTTATTGAGGCCATATTCAACATAGAAAGTAGTTGTGAATCATTATAATTATTCAAAATATTCAGTTTAAAGGCAATTTGTTTCAAAAATTTGTGTTCAACAAGTTGTACAGAATCACGATGTACAACATAAAAGGGGGACCAGACGCAAGAGGCATATTCTAGATGAGGGCGTACTAGGGCACAATATAAAGTCTTTAAGGTTGTAACATTGGTGAAATCTTGTGTAGTCCTTCTGATAAAACCCAGCATTTGAAAAGCTTTATTTATTGCATTGTTTAAATGATTAGTGAAGAAAAGATCTGTGTCTAAAGACACACCAAGGTCTCTGATAATGGAAACTTCCTCAAGGATGTGTTGGCCAATTTTATAATTAAATTTAATAGGATTTTTAAGACGTGAAAATGTAATGGCTTTACATTTAGAAGGGTTGAGATCCATGAGGTTTCCCATACACCAATCTTGAAGGCTGTTAAGATCGTACTGTAGTTTGTCACAGTCTTCAGGAGTTCTTATTATGCAGCTAATTTTGAGGTCGTCGGCAAACAACAAGAAAAGACATACGGTAAAACATTCGTGAATATCATTTACAAAGACATTAAAAAGAAGTGGCCCAAGATGGGACCCCTGTGGCACCCCGGAGGTAACCTGAATAATTTTGGAGAGGAAATTGCCAATTTTAACAATCTGTCTCCGACCAGATAAATAACTGTGAAACCATGAGATCAACGGTTCATCAATCCCAAACAACTTAAGCTTATGTAATAACATGGTATGGGAGACCCTATCGAATGCCTTGGAGAAGTCAGTGTAAATTATATCCACTTGAAGTCCCCTCTCCAAGGCATCCAACAGATAATCCACTTGAGTTAAAAGATTTAATTCAGTTGATTTGCCCTGTCTGAAGCCAAATTGTTCATTAATTAATCTAGGTTCTAAGAGGGGGGTTAAAAAGTCACATACTAGGCTCTCAAAAACTTTAGGGATTGTGCTGATAATACTAATGGGTCGGTAATTGGTTACCAACGCTTTATCTCCGGATTTAAAGATGGGCTTGAGAAAGCTTTCCTTCCAAAACTCTGGAAAAACGCCAGTACGTAGTGACAGGTTGAAAATGTGGTAAAGGGGCCTTGAAAGGTTAAAACTGCAGTTTTTTAGAAGTATGGCTGGTATTCCATCTGGACCAGGGCCTTTGTTGATATCTAACGTAGATAATTTGGTGAATATGTCAGATATTAGTATATGATGCTTTGGTATATGGACTATGGATGTAGGTAACTCATGTGTAGAAATATCATGATTATTGTTTGAATAAACTGTAGAAAAATAATCTGCAAACATGTCAGCAATCTCCTTACCAGAGCAACTTGACCTGTCCTGATATTTAAGTTCACTAGGAAAAGCATTGCTTTTCCTTTTTTTGTTAACAAAAGACCAAAATTCTTTGATGTTGGAGTTAATAGCCCTTTCAGTCCCCTGAACATAGTCCTGGTAGCATTCATGTGTCAAGTTCTTGCAGAGATGTCTCAACCTAGAAAATTCACGATAATCCACATCAGAACGAGAGGACTTGTATTTTTTATGAGCTTTTTTCTTTAGAATTACATAGTTTTTTAATTCAACTGAAAACCAAAACGGAAATTTTCTGGCAGAGAATTTTTTTAAAGGTACAAATTTATCTATGGCAATGTAGATAATATTGTAAAAAATTGTATTGTAAATTAGCCAAGTGCTAAATAAATATATATTATTATTATTATTATTATTAATTAACAGGTTTGTAGAGAATTTAATTGGCTTTAATAGAAGCCTAATTGCGTTGAGGTGGGATAAAAATTAAAGACGCTATAAGGCAACAACTGTCTCAGGGTTGTTTTTTTGTTTGTTTAATAAATTCAATTTTGAAGCTTCTTAGGTGCAAAACTGTTCAAACTAAATTAAAATCTCAATAAACAGATTTGTAGAGAATTAAATCAGAGCCCAGTTGCGTAGAAATTGGATGAAAATTAAAGGAGCTGCAAGGCAAAAACTGTCTCAGTGTCATTTTTGGAAATCTTTCAGTGAATTCAATTTTTGAAGTTTCTCCAATGCAAAACTGTTGAAACAAATATACAATTTTGTCTAGGTAAGTAAACATAGAAACCCTACAAAAATCCAACAGAAATTTTAAAAAAGTGGGGTTTTTAGCCAGCCCTGATTCGACTATCTTATCAGAGGAGCTAGGGGGTTGGATCAATGCTATTTTGATGTAATTAGACCTTTTGTAAACTCTTTAATATTTTGTTAGAATTTGAAGAAGAAATTGTAAGTAGGTAATTGGAATTAAATTTGAAAAATTATTTTCTAGACTTTTTTTACAAGAATCTTTTTCCATATTCGTCATCAGAGCTCAGAACACAAATACATACTCTCAAACCATCTGAGCGCATTTGAAGCTTATTTGACATTCTTTTGGTTAATTTCCAATATATACAGGGTGATTGATGGTCGCTGGTAGGTTAGACGTTTATGGAAAACGGAATGTTGGATATTTTTGAAAATTTGCATGCCTAAGTAATTGCTCCTGATCTATCTTTATAAAATAATTTCAACGATGCGACGTTGCCGCTTATACCAAAAAGTAATATAAACTTTGAAATTTTAAATGAGACACCCTGTATGTTATTGCATTTTTCGCTCCGCTATTACTTTCTGATCGTTTTTGTATAATACCCATCTCTAGTGATTTTCGACTTATTAATTAATTTCTTTATTTTTTCTTCAAAACATTGCTCTAGGTAAATTTGTATTACTACGTCCCTGAGATTCGTAGAAAGTTTAAATTTTGGAGATAACTTAGGGAGGTCCTGCATATCACTTTTGAGCAAGAAAATTTGTTCTACATTATACAGGGTGGGTCAAAATTAGTAATTGTGCTGCCAGGTACAAAAAAGATGAAAAGTGCACTTTTTTAAACAGAACACCCTGTATATTATGAAATATTATGAAAGGCAATTAAAATCCCTTACAAATGATGTATCATGTTCCTATACCTAAATAGTA